ATAAAATATTATTGGAGGTAGAATTAATTCAGTAGTCAATTTGAATCATTATCTGTGTGAGAATGGATAATTTCCCTTTCTCTCTGACAACAACCCCTGTGTACTAGGAAAAGTGTATACACTATGGGAACAGCTAATAAAGAAAGAAAAGACAAATGAGAGTACGTCTTCAGCAGCAGCTGTGACAAAAGAGAAGATTCCCAGAAGCATGACAAACAGCAGCTGCATTCCTCATCAGCAGGCAGGCTAGGTTTAAGGCTCCAAGTTTTCTACAGAGAATTGTCCTCTGGGACAATAACCTAGGGTTAAATCATTGCCTTGAGAATTTGGCGACATAGTAATTGTGGGTTCAATCCTTGGGCCCTCAGTGGAAACAGGTGAGCAATAATTGAGTAGTAGTAAAATAAGAATTAGATGCAATATCCCTAAACATAGACAACTCTGAGACTTATACACAATGCATTCAATGCAATATTTTTATATATATATATATATATATATATATATATATATATATATATATATAATACATTGACACAGGTCGAAAATTATAGAGTCATTGTGAAACCAAAGTCTTGACAATGGCTATATAATATGTGGTATGCCAAGCTACAAAAGCAAAAACAGTCTACCCCGGTAGATTAAATAAAGGATTCAGTTTGAAATTCCCTGTATTGGCATATACCTGATGAAGGCTGGATGGCATCATGGTCAAAATGATACTAACAGGATATACAGTATTTATTACATATTAATGATAATTCTAGGCTCATATCATATGTTTGGGGTTTGTGATCATTTGTATCTTGTGACTGGTGTTCATAATGGTTAGCAAACTCCTCTCTATAACTTAACCTTTCAGTGCTAAGACAATAATTCTGTTATATATTTAGAGATTCTTGACAAAATACAAAGAAGAATTTGCAATGTTATTGATCTTGACCTGGCATCTTTGCTTCAGTGACTTTCCCACGGCCATAACATAGCTTCCCTGTGCCTCTTCTATAAATACTTTCATAGTGATTGTTCTGATGAACTTTCCTCTATGATACCTAGAATTTATGAGTCTTCGTGCAGTACTAGATACCATAGACAAAACATTTGAGCAATGACAAAGTTTTGTAGAAAATGGAAACAAAAAGGAAACTTATACTTAACATCAAGAAGAGGTAGTTGAAATTTCTGGGGCATGTAATGAGGAAAGGTGGCTTGGAAAATCTGATACTCACAGGATAAAAAATACTAAAAAGACAAAAACACATTGCATAAAACTTGATGGGTTTGAGTAAATGAATGGAGAAATAACAAAAGTTATTAAAAGCTACAAGAGGCAGGAAGATGTGGAAAGCCATGATCACCTACATCCTGAAGGAACATCATACTTATTATAAAACCCAGGTTGTGTGTGTGTGTGTGTGTGTGTGAGTGTGTCTGTACGTTTATATATTGGATCGGATTTCCTACATTTTTCAACCGATTTCAACAAAACTTCACAGGACTATGTAAAATTACATTGCGGTGGTTCTAACCGCGCCAAAAATTGGAAAAACACAATTGTTTTTGCACGAAATCAGTTTGAAAACATGATTAAGAGGCATCGCATGAATGAAAGGGAAATAACTCATATTGAGTTATACTTATTATAAAACCCAAGTTGTTTGTGTGTATGTGTGTGTTCATTTATATATGGGATCGAATTTCCTACATTTTTCAACCGATTTCAACAAAACTTCACTTTTGGCAGGTAGTATTTCTTATTGTCTTGCACACTTTTTTCTTTATTTTTACATTCAGAATGTTTTAAAAATTCCATTTACAATACAATTGTTTATAATAAAATTCTATTCCATCGGTAGACTCATAACGATTGAAAACAATGTTTTTGTTTGAGTTTGGGTTTGACCAATTCTTAAACAAAAAAAAAAAAAATAATTAAGACATGTGTGTCCATCAACCTTAAACAATAATATTTGTCAATTTTATTTTTCAGTCTTTATGATGGTCGATACTTGATCTATCTCTTACTGTTACATCCCCGGGCAACGCCGGGCTCTACTGCTAGTGGTACATAAAAGAAGACTATATTGGCAGCAAGGTCTGATCATTTTACAATTAAAATGGCTAGATGCAACTGTAAGTTCTATGCTAATAGTTTCTTCTATTGTACTTATTGCTTCTTGATTTCCATCAAGTTTGATCTTCAAAAATATAAATGCAATGTCAATTGTTATCTCATGTCTTCTTAATTGTTGTTCTTTTATTGTTCTCTCTCCTTAATAATGTTATTTTTTTCTCATATTCTTTCACACTTAGTAACCTTTTGCATCTTAGTAGCTTTATTACCTTGCTTGGGGTGAAATGATTAAAAAAACATAATGTAAATCATGATTTTCTCGTAGAATGACTACACAACCAGGCCTCAAAGTTTAGTTTAGGAAATTACATTGAAAGGTATTGTATTTGATAACAAACACATCAAAAAGGATAATTATCACAACAAACGCTTTCTTTTGACTCGAAAAACATGTAAAACAATATAAAAAAACACATCTTATTTATGTTAAAATTTCTGGGATGAGGAGTTATCATTATTTACACTATTTACATTCGGACTATTGTATCATCTTTGTTGTTAAAAAATGATTTTCTGTCTGAATTTCTGGGATGAGGAGTTTTCATTATTTACACTATTTACATTTTGGACCTATTGTCCTCCTTATATTTGTTGTTATTACAATGTTTTGGCCTTATGACCTCTGAAAATATTTCATCAGTAATATAGACTCAGTGCAAACAGGGCGAAGCAGTACTAAAAAATAAGAATGAGACAAGATATCTATAACCATGGCAAGTGGAATGAAAAATGATAACAGTCTACTTCCATTGATTAAATAAAGGATTCAGTTCAAATTCCATGTAGCTTAATGGATCAATATACAACTGCAAAAAAAACCAGAGAGGACAATTAAAAAATCTATTGTGATAACAACAATAAAGTTTAGGACAATCTTCCAATTGTAAATAGTGTTAATAAAGATCTTTATTTATTAAAATTTTCTAAGATTTAAAATGGGGGGTGCAAATAGAGGGTGCAGATAGATGAAATATGAAAGAAATAAGTCGAGTTCAATTCTGTTTTTTTGTTCACTTTGTGACAATGCTCTGACCACGAGTTAAATAGCAGGGTAAAGTGGGATCTCTTGCCTCGATGGGCCAACCAGTTGAGGAGAAGGAAAGCTCTCAGAATAAACAGCCTGAAGAGGGATGGGCTCCATCAGACTGTCTTGCCCTAGACACTACTGTTTTAATGGTTGCAGTACTTGGTGCCCCTAAAGGATTACACGACTTGTCTTAGTGAGTTGACATGAAGATTACATTATGACTGGAATCACCTGGTAAAAATAAAAATCATAACTTCAGATTGTAGATAGAAAAATCAATAATATTTCCATTTAAATCATGTGGCAGAAATACCTCTCATATATACCTCTCAGAAATAGGAGTAGATAGGTTTGACTATTGTCCGGTTCACTCTCCTCCCCTGTCTTTTGAACAGGAATAAGGTTTATCTTTTGTTCCTTGTTTAGTATTGGGTTTCTGGTTCCTACTAAAATCTTTTCATTCTCCTTCACTCCAACTAGCCCCATGTGTCTTAGTGGCATTATCACCTTACTTGGGGTAAATTGATTAAAAAAATAAAGCAATAAAATACCTCCCACATAATATTAAGACATTAGCAGTATTAACTAGTTGAAGGCAACATTAGCTAGATGAAAAAAACACCATTGCCAGTCTAATGTCTTCTTACCGTTATTGTGGGAGGTATTTCTGTCACACCCTGTAAATAAAATAAGTAATATTTGAAATAAAATAAGAAATATTTTAATAATATTTATAATATTTATTTATATATTTTCAATTTAATTAAAATATTAATTTCCATTGTAAAATTTTTTAATTAAATTAATTAAAATATTTACATAAATGAAATTAATATTTTAATTAAGAAAATATGACTTTTAGAGTAAAAATTAAACTACGACTCATTTTATTAAAAATATTACCTAGGCTAAAATTAAAAATCACTTTTTTCGAAGTTAATTTTTTTCCTTACAAGAACTTTGTTTTCTTTGTATTTGAAATTAACATTCACAATTGAATTATTTTTCGTAGTCGTTAAGAAATAGGTAACAAAACGCCGTTTTAAACTTGTAAAAAGTAAAAATAAATATACTAAGAAAAAAAGGTAAAATTAAATAATTAAACAAAATAAATATTGTAATTTTGTGACCAAAATCTTCTTTTTAGACAATAATTATTCCTATTCCTGTTTAAAATGTAAAAAAAAAAAAAAAAAAATAAGAAAGAAAAAAAAAAGAAATTTTTTAGTCCCCACGCCTTTCTGGTGTGATGATGATGTGTCTTTTTTTCTAGACAAATTATTTCTAAATAATTTCATTTTTAGAATTTTCTCCTACCCCTGAGATATGTCTTTTTGTTTTTATATATTTTTATTTTAAAAGTTAGTAAAAATAAATATAAATAAACTCTCTTTTTACTTTTCAGTTTAAAAGTTCAAACTTTTATTACTTGACCCACTTTTACGGGAGTTTAGAGATGCATCCTAAATCCACACTCTGTTCTGTTTCAGTTTTTTACTTACTATTTATTTATTTTTTACTATTACAATAGCAGATCATAACAACTACATTAAAAAAAAAACAAAAAAACTGGGATGTTTTTCTCCGTATTATTAGTTGATATTGTCTGCCTATGAATTATCTGGAAGTTATCATTTCATTCCTAAACGTTTGTAGAAAACGGTCCAGGGCTAAAAAGTGGATGTGACAGCAGGAGCAAATACCCTTTGAAATTCTGTTTTTATAAAAAAAAAAAAAAAAATTAAGAACATAGTTTTTAATTATTATTATTATAATAAATAGTTTCGCTCGCTTCCAGTCGACTCGTGCTCAGTGGAAAAAAATAGAATTAGATCTGACATATAGTATAAAAAAGAAAGAAAAGAAAAAAAGAAAAAGAGTAGAAAAGGACAAGAAAAGAAAAAAGAATAGAAAAGAAAAAAAAAGAAAAGAAAAAAGAATAGAAAAGAAAAAAGAATAGAAAAGAAAAAGAAAAAAGAAAAAGATATGAAAAAGAAAAAAGGAAAAAGAGAAAGGTAAAAGGAAAGAAAAAGAATAGAAAAGAAAAAGAAAAAAGAAAAAGATATGAAAAAAAAAAAAGGAAAAAGAGAAAGGTAAAAGGAAAGAAAAAGAATAGAAAAGAAAAAGAAAAAAGAAAAAGATATGAAAAAAAAAAGAAAAAAAAAAAGGTAAAAGGAAAAAAAAAAGAATAGAAAAGAAAAAAGAAAAAAAAAAAAGATATGAAAAAAAAAAAAAAAGGAAAAGAGAAAGGTAATTCAAAAAAAAAAGAATAGAAAAGAAAAAGAAAAAAGAAAAAGATATGAAAAAGAAAAAAGGAAAAAGAGAAAGGTAAAAGGAAAGAAAAAGAATAGAAAAGAAAAAGAAAAAAGAAAAAGATATGAAAAAGATAAAAAGGAAAAAGAGAAAGGTAAAAGGAAAGAAAAAAAGAAAAGAATAAAAAGAAAAATTAAAAGAAAAAGCAAAGAAAAAAGAAAAGAAAAATAGAAAAGAAAAAAGAAGAAAGAAAAAGAAAAAGAAAAAAAAAAGAAAAGGAAAATGGTTTTGTTCCAATTTCCATTCTGCATGAAACCCGCTTCACTCATAGAAACTCTGTAAGGGTCTACACCCGGAATAAAAAGAAACGGAGATCAGTGAAAATAATATAATTCTTACATTATGTAAAAAAAAAAGATTAGACAGATTAAGTTTTCAGGTAGCTGAGGGTTAAAATGCGAGTATTTTAAGAGTTGATTCATTTTTTTTAATTTTTTTATTTTTTTTTGTAAATGTTACTCAGGCACGTTCTTCTTTGAATCAAGTCACCAGAAAGAAAATCTCTCGGTCTCTCTGTGTCTGTCTGTCTGTCTGTCTGTCTGTCTGTCTGTCTCTCTCTCTCTCTCTTTCCATCTCTCTCTGTCTCTCTCTCTTACTGCATTATATTTATTTTACAATTTTTTTTACATTTACACATGGCACAAGGACGAATGGAAATGGTTGCTCAACACTGTCTATCCTACTCCAAGCTATTCACGACCCATTCACTCTATGACACAATCACCACAAGAAGTCGCCCCTCTCCATTCAATCCGAACATGTACCAAAATACTGCATTTTCGCAAGGGACCGACACCCATGATTATAAACATTTCTGTATATGCACTTCTTTTTTTTCTTCAGAAATACATAAAATAAATGATATGATAGGAGTGAAGGTGAACCCATGAAATCAAAATTAAAGATAATCAAAAAACATTTCAACAAAATTAATTCCGTGTTAATAAGGAACCGTCCAACAAATCTTTACATCTTTTCGTAAGTTAAATGCCCCCATCCTTAACTTACGAGAAGAGGTAAAGATTTGTTTTTTAAATTCCCCTAATAAATAATTTTTATCACAAGTTATCTACCATCGTCTGAAGAAGTACCATCTTAGTATTGAAACATGAAAGTTTTGTGTAGAAATATCAAATGTTTTTATTCTTATTTATATAATAAAAATATAATAATAATAATATTTGCACTACTTTGTATTGCGCCCTTAAAGAAATGCGACGAACTGGATTTTTACTCCATTTATTCTTTCTTTCATTTGGATACACACACACACACACACACACACACACACATATATATATATATATATATATATATATATATATATATATATGAAGAAATAGTTTTTAGATGTGCTATATTTATGGGATAAAGTGCTCAATATCAGAGATAGAGCGTGTGTAAATATAAAAGTGAACATTGAAGTCAACACTTACAAGCGACAGGTTGTTTCATGCTAGAGGCAATCGCTAGGCCTGACGATTGTGTCTAGCATGAAACACCCTGTCGCCTCTAAGTGTTGACTTCAATGTTCTTTTTTATATTTATATATATATATATATATATATATATATATATGTGTGTGTGTGTGTGTGTGTGTGTGTGTGTGTGTTTTCTTATTACTCTCAACATAATTTTTGTGTATACACGTGTTTGAGTAAACATCCTGTTCATATTTATTTTAAACAGTGTGAATTACGCCTGTTGTGGTACTGTTCTGAATTTAACTACAAGCAGTGACAAACAAAATTTACACATGTAAATGACGCTTCGTCATTGTGAGTCGTAAGGAAATAGAATAAATTTCAACAAGGCGATATTTCTTGTCTTTTTATATAACAGCTGACGGATTAACAACAGAGAGAAAAATACACTAGTATGCATGCAGATATAACTGAAAGAAAAGGAGACATTAAAAGTTAGCTGTTAAGAATTGTGTGTGTGAATGATACAGGCGTATGTGTGAAAGAGTTCAGTCACTCAAAAGAAAGATATCCTCATTTTAGGGACAAGACCAGTGTTTGTGTTGTCACTATAGAATGCTAAAAGGAAAGAATGAAAAGAAAAAAAAAGGTAAAAAAAGGGAGTGTCCCATTTTATAGTTGTTTAACAACGCCACCTAACGTCGTCTTGGCAAAAATGGCAGAACCAAGTGGGGGTAATCCACACATCTACCGGACTGCGCATTCGTAAAGGAAATCAACATCTGATTCTGTGTGCTTTATACCGTTCGGCCACAGAGAGTATTACAGGTAAGAACAGGGACGCAGATTTGAAAACGTAATTCACACTGTTAAAAAAACTCCGGACCACTACTCAAACGCGTATATTGGCAAAAATAACGTTTAGCGTAATAAAAATGTTGGCTTAAAATAAAAATCCATTAATTCCTTAGAAATATGCATGGGGTGAGGTCTTTTCAAGACGCGAGCGAACATTGCTCTCTACAGCTTCTATAGAAAGAATGTACATTCAGTGGCGTAGCGTGGATTGCCAGCCCCGATGTAATGAAAGAAAATAGCATTTAATGCCAGTGTTGGGTTAACTTTATTTCACCACCCCCACTCTTCCCAAACATTATGCACTACACTTGACTGGTCATGTAATTCTTAATGGCCAGACAGTGAAGCCCGGTCTGTATAGAGAACTGTTTTCAGGTAGACGTTATATGACCTGCATATGACGTGCCAGACATGTGAGTAAACAGTTCTTTTGTAACATCCACTAGCTTTCGTTTTCAGGATCGGAGAGATGGCGTGTAACGTATTTCTACACTCTGTGTGAGCATGTTCTCTTTTTTGAAAAAAAAAAAACCCAAAAAACTCCATTTATATTCTTCCGACTTCTTCCTGGTTGTCTTTATTTTTTATCATAAATATTTAGGCGAATATATGAACCGAGGACAAATACTACTCAAGGCCGCCCAGCAGGGCCGGTCGGGAGTGGAGGCAAGCCTGATTGGGGGTCCCGGGCAGTGCCTTGTCACCTTCGCTATCTTATCAATATTTACTTTTTTATACCCACATTTATATACGTTACAAATTAAAATAAACAGAACGATGACAAATTTTCGCGGATTTTGACACCATTCTGGAGGATATTTTTTTAGTCCAAATCCGTAAATTTGTTTTGCTCATAATAAGTCTCGAAAAAAAAAGCACAAAATAAAATTCACTAGTTTTTATTTATAATGTTGAATGAGTTAAAATTATTCAACTTTTTAAAAAGAAAACTTTCAAGTTGATATTAAAAATTGCCTCAAAATATTGTTGATTTATTTAAGATGGAATGTTCTATTATGACATGTCTCTAATTTGTATTTAGATACATTGTATTAATTTTCAATTTTCCTAGTTGAATTGTTCACTTATATTGCATATTAGGTTACAATAAAATATGAATACTACCTTATGAAAATTGAGATGTAGTAGACTGGAGGGCCCTGTATTCTAGTTTCAGTGTGGTCCACGAGGCCCTTGCACAGGCTCTGCCGCTCAGTGTTGTAACTTAGCAAAATTGTACATCTATAGTTTTGTGGTGTCACTGAACACTCGTTGCAACTTTTATAATGCCAACGAATACTCGTTGTCACTTTCGTAATACTCATTGTAGTAGAGACTTTGTAATCGCCGATACAACTATAGTAACGCCGTTGAACAATGCTGGTGTCAGACGCCTTCGAATAACACTCACACTAATAATACTCGCTCGAATAGTAACCACTGAATAGTGATACGAATAGTAATCCGTATAGTGATCACTTAGACATTACGCTAAATCCTGTATATACATTTCCTTTACCATCACGTAATCTACCTATGCAAAATGGGATCGCCTGTGTTTGTTCTCTGGTGATCTGTGTTCAAACTCCAATGTTGGCAGCAACACTTTATTCCGATATAACATATAGGAAATAAACACTATTTTCAGCACAATTACATACCCATATACACACCATATTAAAACACACCCAAAGTGTATTTTCTTCTCAATAACATACAATATTAAAAAAATTGCCTAAAAGATTCCATAATACACACATCGTTTAAATCAAAATGTCCATTGGTTAGAAATTAACATCAACATATGAAAAATATTTGACCAATCAGAGAAAACTAAAACCCTATTTTTCGCGAGACTTTCAGGAAAAAAATTCTTATAAAACCCCACAGATTTCGACTTTCAAAGAGCAGAGATACGGCGGCCTCCAAGCCGAGCACAAGGAAAGACGTGGCTACATAACTTTTTCTTTCCCCCATAGCGCGTGCTGAAATTAACATGTGTCGGCGACTTCAAACTCATCAGCTACAACAACAGCTTGGACGGACAGCGAATTTTTACTGACGATCATGTATCGGCGACTTCAAACGAATCACCCCCAACATTAACAACAAAGACGGTCAGTGAATCTTCGCTAACGATAAAAGTATTTTCTTAAACAGAGATCTTTTCTGCGGACCAACTATTTAAAAGTATTTTCTAAACTATAGATTTTTTTTCTGTGAACCAACTACCCAAAGATTTTAAGTCAACTAAAGACTATTTTTAATTATTTTTTACTCTTTTGAATTCTTTTACATATGTTTGCAAATAGAAATGATTTATTTAGCAGGCATGAGACCATATTTCCTTTATTTTTATTTTCTTATTGTTTAGAATTCGAACGTTAAGATTTATAATATTACAAAACATGGACGACTGAATTTTCTACATATCTCTGATAGGGTTTGATTTATTTAAGTTTTGAGAAACTCCTTTCACAGTTGGCAATTAAAAAAGTGAAAAAATATGCTTAATGACGCAACAAAGAAAACTATCTGAGGCAGTGACTTTCAAGCGCAGAATTGCGGCACATTAATAGTGCCGCGGTACTCTAATGTGCCGCGGAACACTAATGCGCCGCGGAACACTAATGCGCCGCGGAACACTAATGTGCCGCGGTACTCTAATGTGCCGCGAATTATTGTCACAGCATACATATATATATATATATATATATATATATATATATATGTGTGTGTGTGTGTGTGTGTGTGTGTGTGTGTGTGTGTTAGAGTAGTAATTGTACAGCGTTATTATTTGAATGAATGAATGAATAAGTATTAAACTTTTTTCCATTCTTTTCCCTATGTTCCTTCAAATATTTGACTTCATTTATGTGAAGAAGAAGAAGAATTGGCCACCATTTCTAGTGATCGAGGGCTCAAAATAAAACATTCGAGGGTACTCATTGATACATTCTGGA